TTTTCGGCGGTTAAAGAATGTATCACTAGCATCCTGGAACCGGATCTTAGAAAAAAATTTTGAGTGGTCATTTAGTACACCATTTACATTATTCGGACTATTGTCCTCATCTTTGTTGCCAGATTTATCACAACGTTTCGGCCGTTGTACGCTCCGGTCTTCTTCGGGTGGTTGGAATGTCGAACTGAACCCTTTATTTCGCTCGCTGGGGTAGACTGTTCTAGTTCCACGTGCCATGTCTAACGGATGTCAGTTATCAGTTATCCCCTGTTAATTCCCCCTCTCCAGGTTCTCTACTGCCTTTCTTTATAAAAATGTATTGCTGATATTTTTACATTAAAAAATATATTTGAACTCACAACTCTTTGTGTCCTGTCACTGGATCTGTGCCATGTGTCCTTAGGCACAGTGGATAAAGGCGTTGGTTAGATCCAGTGACAAGACCTAAAGAGTTGTGAGTTCAATACCTGAAAAAGGAATTCACTTTGCAACAAAAATTGTTGTGAATATATTTTACAACAAAACAAACCTTTAATTGCATGAACTTCTAAAAAATATAGTAGAATGTTTAAAAAAAAAAAAAAAAAAAAAAGGCAAAGGTCCAAAGAAAATTGATTTATAGAGAAACTGTTGGTATTTTTCTTGTATTTGTTTTGTATTACTGCTTAATTCTTTAATAGCTTTTTTTTGTTTACAATCATTTATTATTACTTTTCTTTAAAAAGAGAAAACAACCTGTTTGTGTATTTTTTGAACGGTTTTAACATGTTTTAGATAAAACAGACATAAATTGACTATAAACCAAATAGGTTTGTTATAAATTAACCTGAACTGTGTCATGTGGGGCCGTATATATTAGCGGGCCGTGAAGTCACTCGTGAAAAGATTATGGCATTAAATGTGGAAGTTTTGACTCATCTTCCTTGATCCCCTGATCTTGCTCCATCTGGCAATCATCTTTTTTATCGTTGCAATATTTTTACGTTAAAGTTGATAATAAGTGTTTCTTTGCATCGAAACCAGAGAAATTTTACGTCCGGAGTATCAAGGATTTGCCAAATAGATAAGATTATGTTATCGAGAATGAGTGAAAATATTATCTTCATTAAATATAGCAATTAAGACCAAAGAAGCATTTGTTTCTATTCCATCTTCAAAGGACGTACTTTCCAACCTTATATATATATATATATATATATATATATATATATATATATATATATACACACACGATTTAAAAATACACCTTGAAGATCTGAAGCCATTTTATTTTAAGCATTTTATCTGCCTTTTTGCTTCTAATTTAATTTTTCGGTTTCTATGATTAGTTATGCTTTTTATAGATCCTGTTCTTCCATATTCTAGCATGTCAGTACAGTTCCAGTCTTTTGCGACAATCGTTGAAAGAAAAACCTTGTTTGTTCGTTTGAACTGAAACAAAATTCTTGACCCACCCCATTGAATATGGCGCTAAAATGAGAAATAAATTTTCCATTGAAACCAGTGGCATTGTCTTGTAATCTGAAGAATTCATAGATGAATTGACAAAATATTCTACACTCTTGAGGATTATTATTTATTTTTGACCTCCACTTACAGTCATGCTGCCTTTTTATCACAACTTTACTTACTTATCAGTTTACAATAGTGAGTAGAGTGCGCAGTTCGATTCCAAATTTCACCATTAGTTTATCTTTAGATTTGCACTGTATTCTTTCAGTCGTAAATTAACTAATAGAAAAATTAATAGTAATGGTTGACAATGCGTCATCGATTAAAACTAAGGATAGACCGTTTTACGTACTTGTACGTCAAATAAACAAAAATTATCAACAAGTTTTAGACTAAGTATTATAATGTTTGTAATCCTAGTCCACTCAGAATAATCTCTTAGTCTTTCTTTTAAATCAAAAAGAAATGTGTAGTTTTAATCACCATAATCTCTCTGATTTCATAGAGTGTCTGCTGTATTTTGAAATGTTGAACCTTGTTCTGATTGAACATGCGCGTTCTTTTTTATACGTCACATCCGTTTTCTTGCAAGATTTTGAAGCTGTTCTCCCAGAATCGAAGAGTGAAATCTGTGAGACTTCCAGTGAATTAGATTTCAGTTACAACTAATCCATACATCGAGGTACTAGTATTTAGTATTTACTAAATCCGTATTAGTTAAATTTCAGCTGCCCCATTTTTGTAGTTTCTCTTTTGGAGTCTTATTTTTTTTTCTTTTGTTTGGTTGTTATTAGCGTTTACGATATACTATTCATATTGATTTTGACATTTGGCCTGCCGATCGAGGGATTTGAACATAGCATATGTTTTGATCGCTTCAGCATTATTCTCCAGTACTTTCCCTTGTCTATTATTTTGACTTATAAAGGTCTGCCCACCATCCTTTATACAATTAACTATTCCTAATTTTAAAATAATTCTTCACTAATTATCAGTTATTTTCATCCATTAAAATGATCAAATTGAGCTTTTGCGTCATGAGATTTAAACATATCTCTTGTGACACAACAATCTCGTGCATTTTGTATGTTAAATACGCAAGCCAATAAGATAAATCAGATGATCATAACTCGATTGCTCATGCTCTGAATTTTTCTTTCATAAACAGAATTCCCACAACTGGAAAAACGTAAAAGCTTCGAACATTTAAATTCTTAATAATAATAATAATAACAATAATAGTAAAGATTACACAGAAAAATTTGGAAAGGAAAGGATTGTAAGTTTCAAATTTTAAGAATACGGTGGAAGTCTTTCTTTATGATCCTTTATTATGCATTTTTACTTTTCCATTATCAAAATTAACGAAGACAAAATAAATTTAAATTTCGATTTGAAAGAATCGGGTGAACATTAAACAGATGTAAGAGTTCCTAATTTGTCTTAATTTCTTCCAGGAGACAATTTTTAATTCTTTGCACATTTGTACTTTTTATCTTATTTTTATTGTTGCTTTTGTTTTTGTTTCATTTTTTAAATCCCAATGATAAGGTTGCTGGACATTCTACAACTGTTAATTAAGCAGCATAGATTGGAAAAAAAAAAAAGGCTGATTCAACAAAAGTACAAAGTATTTTCTATTTTTGGAAGCCTGACATGGATAGCTGAATTCAAATTTAAAAATAGTTGCATTGTACGAAGTACGAATTGGAAACACCGAAATCAATTAAGTAAAAAATTTATATTTCTGGGAAGTAATTAACAGAGGACAGAACATATGACATCGAAATGCGAAGGTGCATTGGAATAGCGAAATATGCCTTCCAAAAGCTAGGCAAAGTATGAAGAAATAGAAAAATTTTGTTGGAAACAAAGAAAAATGTACTAATCTGTGATGTAATATCACTGCTTCTCTACGACAGTGAATGTTGGACAATCTTCTCACAGATGTTGGAGAGACTTCAGGGAAGAGATATATCATTCTACAGAAGGATGTTGAGAATATCATGGACTGATCATATAAGCAACAACGTTTTAAGAAAAATGAAAACAAAAAGGACACGTATGCTTATCAAACAGAAAGAGAAATTAACTTTTCATAGTACATAATGAGGGATTAGAGCTATAGAAGACATTGAAAACAGGAGGGACAGCGGAAAGCAATGATTGATCTACGTAACGAGATTGTGTAAATGGGTGACAGAACAGGAATTGAGAAAGATAACGAAAAAATAAAACATACTAAGGGCTAAAAAGAATAGGAAGATGTGGAGAAACATGATCGCTCACTTCCTGAAGGGAGCCGGCACATAGAAAAAGACAGCGGAGTTAATGCCATGTGTGTACGTTTATTTGCCTCATAGCAACGCTAATCAGCGGAAGTAAGCCGTAGCGAGAACAGCCAAGCGGCGGTTAACGGAATTGAATAAAGAAGATGCCGGACATTGGCTTGCAGGGTTTGGCATTTTAATGTGACAAATATGTCTAAAAATGTAATTATATAGGAAAAAAAAAAAAAAAAGATTTAAAAATGCTTATATAAAATGTTGCGTCATGTCCAATCTAGCTTCAAAGGGTTAACTCATCATATCTAAATTTGACTGACGTTTGCCGGGTAGCTTTTGTAGCTAAAAGAGGGGGATACAGTTTTGGAATCTCGTCGAAGATTCTTTATTTTCGAGCTATGCTGCTTGCTTAACGGAATTTATTTGATTTGAGAGAGAAAAATTAAAAGAAATTAATGCAAACAAAAATGTTATTCTTTGAGAAGTTTCATATTCCAGACAATGTCTCTGACTTGACATTATAAAACGATACATTGGCTTTTAATTATAAAGATGAATGACTGGTTCATTTGTTACAATATATCGAAAAAGGCTTTTTTTCTTGCTTTAACCATAGACAAACAAGGGTAGGTGGAAAAAAACTATATTGAAAATTACTTATAACTTTTTTTAATATCACCACATTTTGCATGAGACAAGATATATTGTGATTCCTACAGTTGTAGAGTTTCATTGCTGATTTCTGTTTTATTTCAAACTGAAAAGTGTAGCCCAGAATGGCACAACGCCTGACACTGCATGAGCGTGATCAGCTAACATCCGGTTACGAAGTTTGGCAGTCCGTGGTACAAGTGCAGAGATGGTGGCTCACTGTTCATGATTCTCGTGCTTTCGTAGATACCAAACCATCAGAAATTGTCATCTGAAACTGATAAGTACGGGATCTGTGGTAGATCCCCTCAGACGTGGTCGTCCTTCATCATTCAGATTGAAAGAAAATGTTTCAAAGATACAGGAAATGTGCAAGGACAGACTCAAACGATTACTACAAACACTGGTGAACAACGCAGGTACCTATTTATAATTGTAACACTTCCGTACATCTACTATTAAAATATAACATGTTTTATGAAAATCGACAAGTTATTAACAATTTTAAATAGGCAGCGTCTTTCCACCCGCCCTATAGTACCAAAGATTAGAAAGTCAATGAGATTTTAGGAAATTTGTTATGAAATATTCTAAGGAGTTCACACCACTTACCGTCTTTGGCTGGACGGACTTGACTGAGAATCTTTCTGATGCCGGTAATTTGATGCTGGAATTGTTTGTATGTTTGATCGGACGAAGACCCTCGAAACAATTGGACAGCTTCGTTTAAAAGTTTCATCGTTTCTGTTTTTTCTGAGGCACTGAATGATTGAAGCTGCAGAAAAAAAATCATGCTGTATATAAAATCAATAAATTATGTATTAAATTAATAAAAAAGAATAACGGCTATGGTTTTTCGACTAATCAAATCGAGCTTGAAGATATTTACGTATGTTCTGATGGATTATGTTCCGATCGACCTATCGGAATGTGAAGAAGCTGCAAGTTGAAAATGATCCTAATATTCTGAGTTTCCGCGCCAAGGAAATAACTTCCACTCACTTTTTTTGTTTTTATTACAAGTAGGAGATACACTAGGGCATTTAGTAGACATAGTAATTGGATTAGAATATACGATAAAAAAAAATTAAAAAATTAAACACAGAGACATGTCAAAGCCCGGGATTTTTATTGAGATGAGGTGGGGTGGATTTTGCTCTTGTATCCTGGTGCCGAAAGAAATATCACACAGCATCGTTCGTTTGCGAAAATAAATAAAAGTTTAATGACTTTTTAAAAAGTAAGTTCAAACCAAGATTGGAATATTGCTACCATATTTGGGCTGGAGCTGCCCAATATTCACTTCCCAGTCTTAGCAGAGTTCAAAAGCATTTACGGAGGCTTGAACTCGATTAATTATTTTCAACCATACAGTTCCACCATTTCAGATCATTACAACGAGGACTTATCATGCCACGTACACAGGGTCAAATCACCTGCTTTCCCTTCGTATTCAATTGGTAAGAAAGAACTTCAGCCCAGACAGCATAATCCCAAGAAACACTTTTGTGCAACAAACTTCCAAGAGTCTCTTCTTACTTCCATACGACTTCCTTCATTAAGACTCTACTTCAAGTAGCTCTTGAGCATTGTACTTTAGAGAAGTGAAAGGGATGTAATATTTAGAACTGATGAAAAAGGAAAGATCCCATAGCTTGTAACCGAATATTATATAAAAAAATGTTAAAGATTCTCCCAGTTAAACAGATTTAGAGGGCATATTTACCAATTGAGAAATAAAACGTTTCGGAGTATGAAAAAATTAATTTTAATTACAATACAATACTTTTTTTGTTCAATAGCCAATGACTTATTCCAACCTCAATAGTTAGATTTTCAATTTCAGTTATCTGAAAGTTCACAAAAATAATATTAACACGTGCGTATGCGATTGTGTCTGTATCAGAATGTTGGCGTTAAACCTCGAATATAGGGGACTTAAAAAATTACTTTCGAAAAAAAAAAAAAAAAAAAAAATCACATGTCGTTTATAGAATAACTTTTGATCTCGTACAAAACCAAAAATATTTAGGCATCCTGTTACCGTTTAATGAAAATAAAATAAAAAGAGCCTATCTTAAAATTACACCTGGCAGCATAGTTACCTGACACAGGAGTTTGCTTTTGGCCAGAAGTGGACTAAACTGTTCTCCTAAATTTAAGGCGTGAAAAGGCGCTCAATCCCGAGAATTTCAAACTTGTGACAGCACCATCTTCATTTCAGTAGGAGAGGCGAGGTCGGTGTGGTCGAGGGGACTGAGCAGTTTCGTCCTTGGCTCATTTGCATACATATGTGTATGGCTCTCCTCGCTTAAAACGATCTTTTGTCACATCCTGCCTTAGTGGGGAGGCCAGGTAAAATATATCTGGCAGTATTGATTTCGCGAGATAAGTCGCAACAAGATTACATTTTCAGATATTTCTGTAATAAATCTGCTACTTTTTATGCTGTTATAAACCGGAAAAGTTTTCTCCATTTATAGAGGAGGATTTTAGGTAGAGATTTTTTTTGCGACAGCATAAAAATATTTAACTAAATTATAATATTACTACATAGTCTTTATAAAACAAAACTATGCTCCAAAATAAAACATCGAGTAGAAAGATTAATCTGGTAAGGGTTTAAAGAAAATAAAACAATTCACAAAATTTATCCAGCAAGATAGCGTAACGGTTGACAGTAAAGAATGTGGAATCGGTGAGTCGTGTGCAAAATCCAATTTGGACTGTTGCGTTTAGGAAAGGCATGAATCCATCTCTTAAATAACAGGGCAGAGTAGGTTCTCGAACCCTGGTTTGGCAGCCAGTCTATAAGAGCATAGATGAAAACGGGAAATCACTACACTATTTCTCCCAAGATGACATCTCATTAAAAAGGAAGCTGTGAAGAGCTATGATCAGTAACATCCAGAAAAGACATGACATTAAAAAAAAAAAGGATTAAAAGGGATAACAATTCCCAAAATTGGTCTGGCAAGAGGTTAAGGATCTTACTTCCGATCAGAACGAATTTATAATTATAATATTCTGATTCAAAAAGCCGGGTAAATATTACATTATTATTTCGGTCATTTTGCCCTCCGGCCTTCATTAAGTGCATGTTGATCTGGGTAACCTACACTCAGGAATTGAAATCATATCTGATATCACCAAATTCACAAGCTTAGACCCAGTAGGTACAGGACGAGCAATAACTCAGTGGTACTAAAAGCTAGACGAGAAAAAAAAAAAAAAAAAAAAAAGGAAAGAAAGAAAAAAGGGTTCTGTTCGAAATTCCTTGAAGGCTAATCGGATCAATAAGCACCTGAAGGAAGCCGGATGGTATAACGACTGAAACATTGATAAAAACAACAAAGATGAGGACAAAAGTCCGAGTGCAAATAATGTAAGTATCATTTCATAATTTTACATGATTCAGTATTTTATATTGAATTAAAGTTTTTTTTTTGATAACGTGGTTTCATTCATATAGAATAAGCGAAAAGAAGTATTGGTGTACTCAACGGCAATTGTGAGTCTTTAACATAAAATTCACACCTTTTTATTTCTAATGAAGATGAGACATGAGTTGTTTTTTTCTCTCGTGTTAACATTAAAATAAAATAGTACTCTTTAATACTGAAGTGAAAAATGTAGAATATTGATTACTTCAACGCAGAAGATTTCCGTCCTTAAAATATCAGCGTAGTATTTTCTCAATTAAGAAATTCAAGTAGAGATTTGAAAAACCCGTAAGTGTCTACTAAGACAAGATTACTTCCATCCCCAAAATAACTTCAGTTTACATATCCAAAAAAATAAAAAAAAATAAATGTAATACGCTATAAATTCATCAATCTTAATGGTGTAGACATGCTGGCAATGAACCCTACGGTTTGTTTTTCTTTTGGTGCAAATTACAACATATGAAATCCTTTATAGAGTTGCCGTCAAAGGTGTTTCATAAAATAGCGAGAGAAAAAAGCACTTAAGAATGTAAACCTGAAAAATAAATTGAAAACAACGCTTCGCTGACTTTTAATAACATCTAATTTGGTACACATTTTGTAATTGCAAAATCATATAAAGTCTCACTTACGCTACAGAAAGAATTAATTTGAGGTCTGATAACAAGACAAGACTTTACGATTCGTCGCAATATTAAATGTTGCGCAGTGAAACATGACTGTGGTATTGTGAATTTTAAAAACATCGTTTATCTGAACATTAAGGCTATATTCGAGCTTCTCTGGACGTCTGCATTATGAAAACAGAAATGAACGTATTTATAAGAAGAGAGAATTAAATCACATTGCCAAGCTAAAAAATTTTGATATAAAAAAATAAAATTCCAAGGGCACACTTTTCGAATAAATTTTTGAACCACCGGATTAAGAATGCAGAAAAACTATCCAAAGTTCATGTTTTTATTCGAAAATCTTTCGACTGTATTTATTATTATCAATAATTAATGTTGCTAGTATCGTAGACAAAGTTTTATAAGATACATTCAAGCATTTTAGGAACGTTGGATTTCAAATTTAAACATGTTTGTCAAATATTGATTTGACCGATTTTTTGCGGCTTATCAATACTTAATTATTTAAAGCTGAAACATATTTTGGATTCTAAGAATAATAATTTTTTTCTTATTTGTAAGTGAATATTGCATTAACAATTTTTTGAGAATAATCATTTTTCCAGATATCACGCCTACTATTTAATCCATAGATGGATAGGAGATGGATTCATACTTTACCGAGTAAGTGAATGCAACGAAACCGGCTGGAATTAGAACCCGAATCCCCTATTTCTCATTTCTAGCCGCTATCGATTGCACCATCAAAACATGTGTCTTATAAGTGACATCATGTGTAGAACTGTTTCATATGAAACACATTCAGCACCGGAATAGGAATTCATTAAAGAATTTATACGCACATTAAAAATGCCGTCTCCTGTGGTGAAAGATATTTAATGCGGTTTGCTTTCTTTTAGTATAGTAATAGCTTTGAGTAAAATGGCAGGATGTAGCTAACAAAAGTTTCGTCTCCGATACTGACACTATTTAATTCTTGATAAAGGCCAAGACGCTCGAAAGCATTAGAACAAAAACAAACCTTTCACAATTACATCTACAATTTGGATCCAGATGTACAACGAAACTGTTAGAATATTATAATATAAAAATGGATACAATATACATACACATATATTCGTGTGTTTTAGACGTATGAGGGTACAACAATTCAGTTCTTACAACCAAACAGCCTGACTACCCGCACATATGATTTGATTATAGCTGTGAAGGCTTGTGCAAAACCAGCCGCGATTCTTGAAAGACCTAGAAACTGGTGTACATAGTGTGCCACAATATCCCCAAACGATCCTCCTTAAGTTCTGAATTCAGAGATGACCTCCATTTAGAGCGGTTGCCACCAAAGTTTATAAACTTTGGTCGCAACTTGGTCCTCCCTGGCCAGAGAAGAGATGGGTTCATGCCTTTCACACGTCAGTGAATAAAACGAACTCGCCTCTGCGATTCCTCAATCCGAGCCGCTATCCATCACTCCTCACCTTCCCCCACTATATATATGTCACTGTGTCATAGCTCATCAGTGCGGTTAGAGATCCGATCGCTTCAAACTGGGATCGAAACCCGGCTGATTTGGCATCAGTCGGAGATTCTATCCCTAAGCTATTGGCGCCCAGTAGAGAGGAAGGTGGATTTTTTCATATTTATTATTAAATAAACACGCGAGTGACCGAGAGGATTCAATCCGTTAGATATATATA